GGAGGTGGAGGCAGCATTCTATACCACAGCAAAAACAACACAAGTTATGGATAGGCCAGGTTCAATGGAACCCTCCCCCCCTTTTCTGTACTTGCTCTGTACTTGATCAGTACAAAGAGTGCGTAGCTTTGTCTTTGGGAATGAGCTTATATCTGATCACAAGACATTTTGCACCCACTGTTTGTTTTATTTACAGTTTTATTGATAGGTTGATCAGGACCTCAAAATAGAAATGTAAGCAATGTAGGCTTGAGGTGGAGGCTTTTACTCCTCCCATCCAACCTACCCCTCTACTTATAACTTGCAGTTCATAGATAATGCTACACTGTATTTCTGTTGTCACTTCATGGTTATAGAGCGCTTCAAAATTATCTGCCATTTAATAGGCCACTTTTGATACATTAAAATTCAGCTTGATAGCGAGGCCTAGACGACACAAACAAAAGAAATGAATAAACATGCTCACACAATTTCCTTTGTTTGTGTCCTCTAAGCCTCACTGCCAAGCTGAAAACAGTGTCTATTCAAACCATATTTTGTTTTTCTTGGATTCAGATTACAAGCAAACACAACTGGCCAGAGACTGAAAGACCTATGTGTAAACCTCAAGTACACCAAACTAGTTTGCTCTACTCTAATAAGAGCCATTGAAACAGCAGATATCATTGCATCATATCTTCCAGATGTACCAAGGGAGACATGTTGCATGTTAAGAGAAGGAGCACCTATCAAGCCTGATCCTTCTTCACCAAATTGGAAACCAGAGAAAAAGGTCAGTGTGTGTAACAGTGAGGTGGATAGAGAATTTTAGAGCTAGGAGTTTGAGATACGGACTCTGACAGTGGTCCCCTGAAGGGGCCTCAGGGGAATCCTCTCAGAAAATTCCTAAAATTGAGAGGCTGAGTCAGCGTGTTGAAATGTCTCATATTTTTTTAATTTAGGGGGTTCGACTGAACCCCCCAGATCTGCCCCCAGTAACATGTATAAGCTCAGTGTTACAGAATCTTCATTGTTTATGTGTGCTGTTAACCTCTCCCCTGCCCAGGACTTCTATGCATCTACATAACTGAACAGTTTAAAGTGTACATGTATGTGAAAATTGAATCAATGAACATGTTAAATCATGTTTTTTTAGGAGAAGTTTGAAGGGCTCACTTTCATGGATTTGAAATGTTAGTGGTAAAACAGAATATAGATTACGACTGATGTTTTTATGGCTGGCGTTCTTCAGCAGTTTTTTCAAGATGGCCCTCGCATTGAAGCTGCTTTTAGAAAATATGTCCACAGAGCAGATGTTGATCAAGTGGGAGACAGTGTGGAAATCTATGTATGCCATGCAAACGTAATTAGATACTTCGTATGTAGGTAAGAACTTTTGAAAGTAAAAAAAAAAACAAACCAAAATTTGTTTTTCTGTTTACGTGTACACTGTATTTAATACAGTGTACACGCCTAAGACTTTGTTTGAATTCTTTTACAGAATGCATATACACAAATGTTGTGCCCAATTGCAATACAATTTTATACTAAAAACAAATTTTGTTCTCCAGTTGAGTACCTCAGTCAAGGTTTAAGCCCGGGCTGCTTGACCCAGAGTCCAGACTACTAAA